TATCAGTTTTGAACTGACCATCACTAAGGTTTATTGATTTTAATTCCTTAATCAAACTAGCTTCAACCAGAAGTCTTTCTGTGACACAAGATGATTTGAATACTTCTAAGCTTTTTTCCCAAGCAATGGGATGATTATTATTCCTAACATGAACGAACAGGGCACTGCTTTCAGATGCTGTTCTGATATTGTACTTATGTTGTTTGATTCTGAGCTGCAGTGTTTTTCCTGTCTGTCCTACCTGATCCACGTACCCCTTCTCTTAAGCTCCTCTACGGTGTGTTGGTGTGGGATTAGTGGATGACATATATGACTCCGACCTCATGTTTTAAGGTCACCTGTATATTAAGCCTCTGTCCATGTAATCCAGTTGCCTCTGAAGATGTCTTGAATAAAGAGGAAAGCTAAGGTGCTCCCTTGTTTCCCTTTTCCCGTGTGATTTTATCAATATAAATATATATATATATATATACACAGTATTACCCCGCCTAACGCGGTTTCACTTAGCGCGTTTTACATATACACGGTGCCTTGCCAGAGCTGAACTTTCACTTAACACGGATTTTTTCATCATATACGCGGTGAGTGTCCGGCTCGAGACGCTATTTTTAGATTTGCCCCACGCGCCACCCGCCTGCCTGCCTGCCTCTCCCTCCTCCTCCCTCCGCTTGGGCAAGCGGCGCGGTAAGGTTGCGCAGTGTGTGTCTTTGTTGCGTTATCACTGACGTCATATGATGTATCGGACTGTGATTGGCCATGCATCCCTACCCCCCTCTGCTGCTAGCTGTAATTGGCTTAAAGTATTATGACGTGACCACCCCGGGGAGGGAGGAAGGGAGGGAGGAAAGACGATGCTTGACCTAGCCGCGGCAGTTTCATCCCTCAAGGCCACACCGTGTAAACGCGCATCCATTGTTCCGTAAAATGGCTTCCGCCAGACCACCACCGCCACCAGAGAGAGACCTTTCCTTACCTGGACCCAGCGGCACTAAGCCAAAGAAGACACGACGTTCCTTAAGCTACGAGGTGAAGTACCAAATTGTTCAAGATTTGGAGAAAGGAACACGGCAAGTTGATCTCGCGCGCCAGCATGGCGTCAACGAATCTACGATTCGCACGATCAAGAAGGATGCAGCCAAGATCAAAGAGCACATGAAAATCACAAAGTCTGCAGGTGCTTCATCTATCAGGTATTGCCAGAACAGGGTGCTGGCAAAAGTGGAAAATTTGCTGGTGAGTTATTTGATTCGTCAGGCGCGACGCAACATGGCGGTGGACAAGCGCTCAGTGCAGGAGTACGCACGTGAGCTATACGCAGCAGTGTCACGTAAGCTGGGAATTGCAGAGCCCAAACCCTTCAATGCTTCCTCTGGTTGGCTGCATAGGTTTAAGAAGAGGAACAAGATCACCAACATCAACATTGGTGGTGAGGAAGCGAGTGCTGACCGTGTGGCTGCTAGAGATTTTCCTCCGTTCTTACGTGAGATTATGGAGGAAGGACAGTACTGTACACTGACGACCAGGTGTTTAACATGGACGAATCTGGTCTTTTCTGGAAAAAGCTACCTTCCAAGTCCTTCGTTGTCCAGTCTGCCAGCAAGGTAAGGGGTCGGAAGTTGCAGAAGGAACGCATCACCGTCCTGTTCACCACCAATGCCTCCGGTACCTGTAAACCAAAGTTATCGGTGATTCACGCAGCCCGCAAGCCGCACGCCTACAAGAATATGGACATGAACAAGCTTAATGTCCACTGGCTAACCGCACGTAAGGCGTGGATGTCCTCTTCTCTGTCCCTCTTCTGGTTTGACAACTGTTTTGTTCCCGACGTGAAGAAATTCTGCGAGCAACAGAATGTTTCATTCAATATTTTGTTGCTCCTTGACAACGCACCTGGACACTCGCCCCTACTTATGGATCGTCACCCCAACGTAAAAGTGGTCTTCCTTCCTCCCAACACTACGTCATTAATCCAGCCCATGGACCAGGAGTTGATCTGCAATGTGAAAGCTGCGTACTCTGCAAAGAAGTTCAAGCTCCTGAACGACTCTACCAACACCAAGGATGAGTTGCGTAAGCTGGGTGACACCGACAGCGAGAGCAAAAGCGACGAGGACAAGGAACAAGAGGTGGTGACTCAAGAACTTCTCGTCAAACAATTTTGGAAGAAGTTTAACGTTAAACAAGCTGTAGACTTCTTGGTGGAGGCATGGGATCTGCTGACTATTGCTACGATTCGTCACGCATGGAGACATGTGTTGCATGGCATACCAGGTGAGAGGAGGAGTGAACCTGTGACTGGTGAGGTTCAGACTGTTGCAGTAGCAGTGGACCTTGCCAGAGAAGCTGCGCTCAATATTACAGCTGAAGGCTTCTCCGAGACCACCAACGAAGACATCATGGAGGTGATCAGAGATCCTGAAGTGACTGCCGACGAGATGTTGGAAGAAGAACACGCCAGTGAAGAGGAGGAAGAAGGTGCGTCATTCTCCGAAGAACCTAGTTTAAGTCATAGTGATATTAAGTGTGCCATAGAGTTTGCAGAGAAAATGAAGTCCGTCCTTTCCCGCAACAATGACGATGACCGCTATGAAGTCTTCCATACCCGGCTGGTGCAGGCTATGGAGCCGTACATCACGGTGTATCATGACAACATAAACACCAGCCGTCAAAAAAGCATAACCGAGTTCTTCGCCCGCAACCCACCACAGCCAGCCCAAGCCAGTGATAGTGACAGTGAAGTTGACTTTGAGGGATTTGTCAGGGAAGCCCTGACAACTGTAAGTGACAGTGATGGTGATTCACCTAGTAATGGTGATTCACCTGAGGGCCAGTAATCTGCCCTCTGCCTCGGAACCAGCCTCCATCCCCATATGCCGACCCATCTCTTCTACTACCGTAAGTGTTCCACCTAACTTTTAGTTTCTCTAACGTAACCTTTATTTTTCCTAACCTAACCTCTTCTATATTACTTGTTTTTTCATACCATCATAAAGTTAAGATAAAATTTTTACTACAACATAGTTATGTGTCGTCAAAAAGTGGAGTTTGGGGGTCGGGCTGGTTTCTATTGGAATTAATCCCATATGTTCTGTTGTTCATTTAACGCGGATTTCACTTAACGTGGGACCCTCTAGGTTCTATTGACCGCGTTAAGTGGGGTACAACTGTGTGTGTATATATATATATATATATATATATATATATATATATATATATATATAATATATATATATATATATATATATATATATATATATATATATATATATATATATATATATAATATATATATATATATATATATATATATATATATATATATATATATATATATATATATATATATATATATATATATATATATATATATATATAATGTATATATACATATGCAGGTTGTACCTCTCTAGTCCGGCAACCTCGGGACCTGAACGGTGCCGGACCATGGAAATTTCCTGACCATGGAAATTCACACTTTTCCTGGACATATAGTGACTTGCGCTTACGTTAGCACCACTTTCACTGCTTCGTGGTCTCTTTGAAGACATATTGAAGGGTTAAATGTCGCACAGTAGCTTCTCAATTTTCGCGAGTTTTTAATTCAACGTTTTTTATTTGGACACAAAAAAAACACTACATAATTTAAAATTTTGACAGAGGAAACTCGAATTTCGACGGGTTTGAGCAGCCCGCCAACATTCAGACGATGTGCATAATCGTGTAAACAGCGTCATTTTTCTTATGTACAAAAGATTCATTAGTGTTTATTACTGAATGTCTTTTTTATTGAATTAATGTTTGTGTGTGCAAAATGAGCAATACAATTCATTAATAATACGTAGAATATTAAAACACACGAGGAAATGACACAGCATTGTTTTCGTTGAATACAAAACCAGTGTCAAGTGGTTCTACATATAAAACAAGAAAATAAGACCCTGGTTGTAGCTGTAGTAAAATTAATGTAAAAAATTAATATGGTTGTTTCAAGTAATGTTATTTAATGTTAATAAATAGAACAATAAAAGTAGCAAACCATTAATGTTAAAGAAAAATAAATGAGACTGAGCGTATGTAAGTGCGCACATGTGAAAAACATATCGTCATTACTCTACATAAGAATATGAAAGCAACACTTATTTAATGCTTTATCGGTGTCATTTTCGTTCGTTTATTAGGATGTTGCTTTATTAGAGGTAGTAATCCGCCAAAAAAGTAAGGTAAATAAGGCAAAATTCACCCTCGAAACACCCTACATAAAGCATAAAAACATAAGATAGAAAATAAATAAGTAAGAATACAGGGTACTATTTCATTAACCTTTAATGCTACCAAAATTCTGCTTCCAAAGTGAAGTGATGGTACAGTACTGTGACTCAAATTACATTTCAGTTACATCAGGGATGTTGGCTGTGGTGTCAGGGGTCATGGCTGTGGTGACATCAGGTACAGCGGGGGCAGAGGAACTGCTGGCAAGTGGATTTGCTATGCTAGAGTGCTCTTCACTGTTTTTGTTAGCCATCTTCTTGAACCACTCTTGCAAAGTTGCTTGCTTCATGTACTTGGTTTCTCTTTATTCAATTTAGATTGAATCAAATATACAGCCGTGATTTCTTGCTCCGTAATAAAACTCTTTTGTTCTAGTCCCGTGATTAATTCTGTGCACAGCTGGATGCACCTGTCAATAGAAATTCTTTCTTTGATATCCTCTTCCTCCTCGTCGCTTGCTTCGTCATCTTCCTCCTCTTTTCTTAACCATCTCCACAATCTCTTCATCAGAGAGTTGATACACAATAGGGGCATCTTTGTCAACATCCATCCACTCTTCCAGCTGCTCTTCACTCAGTTTATTGGCCACTTCAACACACACAGGGTTTGTCATTGTATTAGCATACTCAAGCAACTCACGAATAACTTGCTTTTCTTTTGACACATGAAATCCAGCAGTCTTGGTCCACATCTGCACTCTCCTCAAACATTAAGGCTGGCCACAGATTATGCTATCCATTCTTCAAAGTTGATGGAGTCACCTTATCCCAGGCATAGGCAAGTGTCCAAATAACATCCTTTAGGTTAACCTCTTTCATGAATGCTGAAACATGCTTCCCATTATTCACTGCAGCGAGCAAATGGCGCATGAAAGCGGCTCTATACTTACACTTAAGTGAGCGTAATATGCCCTGATCACAAGGCTGAATCAGAGATATACAATTTGGAGGTAAATATAGTCCAACCACATTGTCTTTCACTAAAAGTTCAGCCTTAGAGTGGGCAGAACAATTATCCAGAATCAACACTATTTTACACTTTGGATCTAGGCCTACTGAGTTGCAGTGTGCTCTAGCCTCATGCACAAAATACCTTTCAAACCACTCTAGGCATAGTTTTGTAGTTATCCACCCCTTCTTGTTACCACGGTAGATAACTGGAAAACTTTTCACACCTTTAAATGCCCGTGGGTTGACACTTTTCCCAATTACCATTAGCTTACACCAGTGAGTGCTTGCTGCGTTGCTACAACCAAGGACCGTAACCCTACCCTTCGAGTCCTTGCCACCTGTTGGTGCCTCCTCACTCTCTGTAGCTAGCGTTTTTCTAGGCATACAACGCCAATATAGAGCAGTCTCACCAGCGTTATACACTTGTTCTGGGGATAACTTCGCCTTTGCCACAAACTGCGCGAATTCGTTCACATACTTGGCAGCTGCTTCACTGTCTGCACCTCGCTTTTCACCATACACATAATGTAAAGACATACCATGCCTATTTTTAAACTTGTGTAACCATCCTTGCGAATAATCACAGGCATGCTGAAGGTTTAGTTGTTCATGAAAGATCTTTGCTTGCGCCACAATCATCTCGCCTGAAATGCTTCCTTCATCATTAAGCCGAAGCTTAAACCACTGTAATAAAGTACTGTCTAACTCACTACTTTTGCCTTCTTTCAATGTCTTACGAGTTATCATTACTTTCTTGGTCTCACTATCTGCAAAAAACTTAAATATCTTATCTTTCTGCTTCTTTATGTCATAGATCGTGGATGACCCAACATCGTACTTCTCTCACAAGTTGCGTACCGAAGCACCTTTATCCAATTTCTGCAATAGTTCAACCTTTTCCTGGATAGATAGTAACTTGTGCTTACGCTTGGAAGCACTAGCACCACTATCACTGCTTCGTGGTTTCTTTGAAGACATATTGAAGGATTAAATGTTGTACTCTGTATAGACAAACAGAGAGAGAGCCGAACTGCCGGATGTAAACAAACCCTAATTTCCCACGCCTTTGTTGTTGTTGTTTTTTTACGGGGATTAGCCCACCCGGGCACAGGTCACTGACCCACATTGGAGCCTGAGGGGCAAAAATGTAATACTCCTGTAATAATAATAATAATAATAATTCAGATAAGTAAAAAAAAAAAAAATTGTGCCTATCTACCTATTAGGCAAACTAAAATCATTCCGGACCACGGGAGTTTCCGGACCACAGAATGCCGGACTAGAGAGGTACAACCTGTGGTCTTTGCCGTGGTCTTTGAACAATTGTAGGGTCTCGTTGTCTTTATCCCTAAATTCTCAAATTACGTCCATATAAGACAGGCGACAACCTTCACTCGTCATGCTGAAAATGAAACTGCCGCGAGCCTGGGGAAAGGCGCCGCAGCAGAGTGCGGCCTCGTTACCGCCGGGAAGACAAATTAGTGCGTGCCTAATTATCTACAAAACAAAACATTTGCACAAGAAATTATTACCATAGCAGAACTCACTGATGAAAATAAAGTAAGAAAATAAACAGTAATAAAAATAAGTTGTTCGCAGGTTAGTCCTATATATTAACCACCTAACATAACTTTTACCTAACCTAAACCTTTACCTAACCTTCAACTTACCTACCCTTTACCTAACCTAACCTAAATTAATGCATAAAGGTTAAAATCCCTTCTGCAGGGGAATCTAGTGACAGCACTAGGATCCTGGTTCCTCTATCAAGGAATAAAATGTTGAAATTGAATTGAATCCCTTATAGTGGCATCCTAAGTTACGCTTATATATCATCAACAGAATTATAGATATATTGGAGAAATTATTATAAAAAGTTTATCTCTGCAAATGTATTTTTTGGGAAAAGAATTTGAAATTTTTCCAGAGAACTTAATTGTTTGTCATGTGCGTTGTGGCTTTCTTAGGCAAGGTAGGGTAACGTTAGGTTAGGTTAGATAAGGTAAGGTAAGATTAGGTTTTGTTAGGCTAAGATACATTTCACTAATTTTGTAGCGAAAAAAAAACATTACTGAATGTATCGGATGAAAAAAACTATGAACGTAATTTTTTTTCTAAAAAAAAAAGAAATTGCTCCACCAGTTAATTTTTACCCCCTTTTTTTATTCGGTTTGATGAACTAAGATTGTGTTAGGTATTATTAACTCTGAGTCATGGGTACTTCTTGGATACTAGGCAGAATAGTTTGTTATAACTTTTTTTTTACTTTTATTGTCTTCACCAAAAGATCGGCTCGCTAGCCGCCCAGGCTCCTGAATGTACCTGAACCTGCTCCAGTGTTGGTCAAGTCCTGTCTTCAAAGAGCTCACACTCGGTGCCGTCAAAACACTCTCTGGTAGATTGTTCCAAGAGTTTACAACCCTCACTCCGAAAAAGTTTGCTCTCACAGTTTTCTAGACTTGCAGCTTCTTCAATCTTGAGCTGTGACCCCTTGTGGGGCGAGCGTCCGCCAGCTCCAAGTAAGGACACTCGACTGAGTAGTGCCCCATGAGATGCTTATACACCTCAACTAGGTCACCCCTTGCCTGTCTGTAGTATAAGCTAGGCAAGTTCTGGTGCTCCAATCTCTCAGGGTAGCTGAAGTGCCGAAGTGCAGGCACAAGTCTGGTGGCCCTTCTTTGAACATTTTCAACCAACTGACAGTCCCTAGCATATCTCGGGGACCAGACGGGGTGACTACTCCAGATGGGGAAGCACTTCACTCTTGAAGATCGTTACGAGGGACGGACCGTCTAGACATCTGAACGACCTTCTTATAAGACTCAATAATTTACTTGCCTGATTTCCTTCTTCTCGCAATGGCCCGATAACTTCAGCTCATTGTCAACATACACACCTAGGTCCTTCTCACATTCATTCTCAACTAGTTCAGTTTCTTCATCCCGTTGGGACATATGATACACCTCCTTACCGTTGGTACGCCCCAGGTGCATCCTCTTACACTTCGTGACATTGAATCTCAGCAGCCATTTCTTCGACCATTCCTGGAGCCCTAGCAAAGGCAAAGTTTAGGTAAAAATGTTCACATGACCTCGTATTTGGCTTTCATTGCTGACGGATATCTACGGCTATACCACATTAATAAGGTTTATCCGCAAGCTTACTCAGTCATAAAAAATATTTGTACCATAAATGTGAACAATAAAAATCTTCTATTTTGGTACAAATTACTTGAAAAGTTTTAAGAAGACAAAAGCCACATCTCTTCCATTCCACGAGAAATAGAAACACTCAAACTCCTCTTATCGTAAAAAATGAACTAAAAAGACAACCTGTAATCGTATTTTAGTATGTTTATGTACTAAACATTTTCTTCATTATTCGATGATAAATCAAGTCTAACAATCTTTATTAAAACATATATTCATTTTTTTTATGGAATCAGGAAATAGCAACTTACTATATCCAGGTTAACCATGTTACTGGAGGTCCTGTAAGTTAAGGACTCGCTTATGGAGTCCACTGCCAAATATTTGTTTTGAGTATACCAGTCAGAGACTGTAAGTCCAGTTACCGGGTAAACAAAGAGATACAATCCCGTAAATGCTTTTGAGTATGAGGCCCCAGAACAATAGTGAGGCAGTCAAAATATTACAAGATCACAGTGTCCTACCAACATGAAGACTGTCCTAAATATGGAAATGGCTTAGTTTTAGGAAGACAGATATTCTTTTGTCTGTAGGCATAAACGTACTAACAAGAAATCAAAGCGAGTTATTAGATGTGCTTTTTAGGTCAGTTTATATAAGGACAGGTGGGTAGCACATGTGAAAGCAAATTATCACCCAGCAAGAATTTGTTGTTTTGCAACACTTATGTTGGAAAACATTTTTCACGGTTTTATGCTGAAAACCACGTTGGTCTTAGTTCTGAGGATGCGGATAACTGGCGTTTGTTCTGCGGGGAGGTGTGCGAGAACTGGTTTCATAATCAGAAAGCAATTGGTGATCCAGGGGTGGTTGAGGAGTATGACGAGTCAAAGTTTGGAAAATCCAAGTACAGTAGAGGAAACAAATTAATGGTGTGTGGGTGCTTGGAGATAGAGGTGAAGGTAAAAGAAAATTTATCTGGCCTGCCAACCACGTGACACTCAGACATTAATACCATTGATTCACCACTTCGTCCTCCCAGGAAGCATTTTTCATATTGACTGCTGGAAGGCTTATAATGGTTTGAGAGATCTAGGTTACACACATTTGACTGTTAACCACAGTGATAACTTTGTCAATCTACATAACAGTGTCTACACCCAAAATATTGAACACTGGTGGAATGATATTAAAAGCTGGGTGTGTTCAGGCATCAGGAGGGAGCACTATAATAAATATTTGGCTCAATATTTATTTCAATCTGATTTTAAGAATCAAGAAACCATCCTCCACCACTTCCTTCTCCAGATCACCCGGCTGTATCCTCCACCACAGTAGCAGGAAAACTCCAAAACTAGTTAGGTTAGGTTTGGGTTTTGGGGCATTTTATGGTGCACTTTGCTCAAACCTGACCACCATTTTGGTGCAAATTAGTGGTTTGTTACAAATGAAAAATTTCATTAAAAAAAATAACTTGCACAAGAATGAAGGTCAGATATGAGTAATGACGATCAGTGGTGAAGAGGATAAAAGAATACACAAAAGAAAAAACTATTTTGGTATCAACATATGAGGACAGCCAATGGACGAATATTTACTAATAATATTAAATGCATAACATACTATAGCCAGATACAGTAGGTTGTTTTGCAAACTAATTCCCACCATTAAAAGTAAAAGAGACATAATGGTATCAGTCAAGTTTTGGACCATAATTAGCTACAATTATTTTTGTGTTTTTTAGATCTAACTCGTCAAGTTAGACATTTCTTTTATGGCATTTCCGTCGCAAATAAATAATAGCTGGAGATATGGGGTGTGCTTACCTTAAAATTTTAAGATATGTAAGGTTGGTATGTTTCTTTGGTTGGTTAGGTCAGGTTCTAGTAAATGTCGTCTCTTTTATAATGACAAGAACATCTGTGGGAAAAAATGAACAAAATCGAACAACTCCTTGTTTGGGGATTACTGGCCACTTCGCCTTAGGCTATTTCGGCTGCAACTCCTTCTGGTTGGGTATGTTTATAGCTACACAATGATCGACTCACGGCAAAAGAAATGCCAAATGCTGCCAAAGAAATTTCAAGTTCAGGAGCTCTGCACAAACTTCGCCAAGTACAGAACAGTATTACCAAATATAGGTACATGATGGTTTTTGCCCTTTACCCTCGGCTTCATCACCAGAAGGATTATGGTCCGAAACTTATCTTTACCAACATCATAATATTGTTGACACTACAGAAAACCAAAAAATAAATCAGTGCTCCATTAAACAGCAACAACTTCTTAACATTAATAAATTGGCCAATAATATGATCAATTTAACATTAATAAATTGGCCAATAATATGATCAATTTGATAAGACGTCTCGGAGATATAAATTCGAGGAATAAATACTGGCTGCAGATAATGAACTAATAAATGAACAAAACAGTTTGCTCAGAAAACAAATTGGGTGAGTTACTTACAAGTTCCACAGCACAAACAAAGTAAAGGAGTCACAGTCACCACACTCGTCTTCACTAGTCTACAGGTATCTGCAGTCTGCATTAACGAGTGTCAACAGCCAAGTAGCAGAGACCAGAGATGCTATCTACAAACTTACATTCCCGCTATATGAGACTCCAAAACTCGCTAGATTTGACCCCTAACACACTAGATTGTAACTGCACAGATAATAGCATGTGTTACCCTCTTTATATATACCGTATATAGATATATAGACAATTAAACTGATTAATATATATAAATAGATAGAATGATAAATATAGAAAGTATAGTACATAGAAGTATAGCTAATTAACACACCGGTGAGCATAATGTCACAAAAGTAATATCACTAATATGAATGTATAATCAACATCAAAGGATATGTATGGTCTTCCTTTAAAACAGGGAGAGAGAGGAATCGTCGAATTCCTCTACCCCTGTTTCCTCTAAAGATGTACTTGTGTGGGGTACGGGTTGTTTGGTTCACACTCTGGATGGGATGGAGAGAGGGAACTCACAATGTGCTCTCTGTATACATGTTGTATTGGATGTACAATGCAGCTTGGTGCTGGGAAGGCAGCATGGTTACAAGCGTAATGTAGAGAGAGCTGGTTGGTGAGGGTGCTCAGAGGAGGACCAGCTTGTGGGTCGCCATGGTCGCCTGCGAGAGCCAGGGCCGCCAGGCAGGAGAGGAGGACGTGGTGTTACTTGTAGACTGGCTTGTGGGGTTTAGGTTGTTTGGTTCACACTCAAGATGGAATGGAGAAAGGAAACTCACAATGTGCTCTCTGTAGACACGTTGTATTGGATGTACAATGCAGCTTGGTGCTGGGAAGGCAGCATGGTTACAAGCGTGATGTAGAGAGAGCTGGTTGGTGAGGATGCTCAGAGAAGGACAGCTTGTGGGTCGCCATGCTCGCCGGCGGGAGCGAGGACCGCCAGAATGGAGAAAGGAACCTGCCAATGTGCTCATAGCAGACACGTTGTATTGATGCACAATGCAGCTTGGTGCTGGGAAGGCAGCATGGTTACAAGCGTGATGTAGAGAGAGTTGGTTAGAGGATCCTCAGAGAAGGACAGTTTATGGGTTGCTGCTCGCCGGCGGGAGCGAGGACCGCCAGGCAGGCGGAGAGGACAGGCTGCCAGGCAGCGCGGCGGAGGAGGAGTGTTGCTGGCTGGTTGGTGTAGGTAGAAAGATAGCCACTACGAGGTCAGGTCTTAAATAGCGTGGGGGTAGGCGTGGCTGGGGTAGTTGACCCCTGCCCGTGATGCCGTATGGCGGCCTCTGGCTGACCCAGACCACGAGGCATACACTGGGGAATTGGTGGGTCGGCTACTCAGGCGACAAACAGCGTTTGTAGGGGAGAACCACCATACGACCCCCTTCCTCCAGGCAGTGAGGAGACTTGTTGTCTGCAGGGAAGCCAGCAGCACATGTGAGGCAGAACGGGCGGTGCATGCCTCTTGATGTGAGACAACGTATGATGGTGTGGATGAGCCGGTCGCTGGACAACTGTCTATGATACACAATATCTGGGGAGGCGAGGAGAAAAGTGGTGTGTGGAGGCGATGACTTTGTCTTCCTCACGGCAGGTACAGAGTCGTCAGATGCGCCTGCAGTGTGGGGGCCTGGGTCAGAGCAAGGGCTGCGTCAGCAGAAGTGGATGAGGCTTGTGACAGCAGCTGGGTCCAGACAGCAGCAGGGGTAGGAGGGCTAGCAGAGCACCCCAGGGAGAAAAGAGGTGTGTGGGTCCGCACTCAGGAGAACAGGGGCGCATCAGGGAGAAGTGGCAGGGGGTTACTGCTGGGCCAATGGCACCAGGCAGGACGGTGTGCTGGGGTCGGTAGGACGTGGTGCTTGGGGGCAGGGAAAGGAGCTGGTGTCTGCTTGGAGAAACAGTGTGCTGTTTCTTAAAATTTAACCTACGGTGAAGAGACAGTAGTTGCAGAGCCGATGAGCTGCTTTGTGGATAAGCCAGTTCCATGTTGCTTGAAGACTGGGAGCGTGACTGTTTCTTCCATCCTGTGTGAGTGCGAATTCCAGAGTCACCATTTCAGGGGTTCAGATGTTTGTTCCACCCAGGATGGGGTGGAGAAAGGAAACCACAATGTGCCTCTGTATACATGTTGTATTGATGCACAATGCAGCTTGGTGCCGGAAAGTGGCAGCGTGGTTACAAGCGTGATGTAGAGAGAGCTGGCTGGTGAGGATGCCTGAGGAGGACAGCCAGGGGTCGCCATGCTCGCCGGCAGGAGCGAGGGGCTGCCAGGCAGGCGTGAGGAGGAGGCGAGGGCCGCCAGCAGCGGTGGAGCAGGAGGTGTGTGTTGCTGGTTGTTGGTGGTAGAAAGAGGGCAGGTTAGTGGTTGGTTATACAGAGAGAAGAGAGCTGTAGCTCTGAGAGTGGGAGAAGGGTATAGTACAAGGTAAAGTTCAGAAGTGGGAAGTAAAGGAGAAGGTTAACAGCAGGTGGGCTATCCACCTTGCGGAGACAGGTTTTTTTGTCTTCCGTAACAGTGCTGCCTTAGTGGTTCATGGGGTTAGGGAAGGCCGGTCTCAGCCAAGCTAAGCTAAGTTATTCTAAGTTGTCCTTGGGGTATATTATATTAGGGGGGGGGGGTCCTTCCAGGTCCTTGTGGCACTGGAGGGATGATCCCCATCTTTTTTTTTTTGTGAACTATTTAGGTCTTTGTTTATTTGTGGGGTCCCTCTAGGTCCTTGTGTGACTGGAGAGTTGTGCCCATCTTTTGGTTCTTATTTATTGTTATTTTTTATTATAATTTTGTTGTTATTGTGTATATAGAGGCTCTGGTTCTTCGATATCATTTTTCCTGCTTCTCTGCCACCATCTGATGTGATGTGTTGTTGTTTTCCTCGATTAGTCTGTTTAGTATGGGATCCTGTTCTTGCTCGATTTTTTCCCATATTGCATTTGCTTGGGTGTGTATTCTGATGTTGAGTGGGTCTATGCCGTGTTCTGTGTGTATGTCTTGTACTGTTTGTGTGTATGGTGGTTGGTGTTTTGCCGCTCTTCTGAGGGCTATATTTTGCACTGCTTGAAATTTAAGTTGATTAGTTCTTGCGATTGTGTTCAGAGGTATCGGAGGGTATTCTAAGTGTGGTCTGATCACTGCTTTGTATAGGTGCAATTGCGTGTTAGTGTCCAATTGGCGGAATCTTCTGAGCTTTGTAAGTTGTGATCTTGCCATAGCTATTCTTTCGTTGATGTAGGGATTATTCCGCTTCTGGATATCTTGAGTCCTAATGTTTTTCCCTTGGCAGCATATGGTATTTGTTGGTTGTTGATAATAATAGGGCCTGGGTTCGTTTTTGCGATGTGAATTATTTGGAGTTTTTGTACATTGGTTTTTATCTTCCATTTTCGTTCATAGTCGTTTATTATCTCTATTTCTCTGCATGTTCTAATGGCCATCATTTGTTTGGATTTTCCCGGGTACCTGACTATCTGTGTTACATCATCTGCGTATGCTATGTATTCTGACTGACGTGGTTGCGGCATATCTGCCGTGTATACAGTGTATAACGTCGGCGATATATTACTGCCTTGAGGAACTCCACTATGAAGGTTGAAGGTTTGTCCTAGATGGTTGTCGATTATTAATTTGGCCTTTCTGTTATCTAAGAAATTACATAGTAGTGCTGTGATATTGGTAGTGTAGGGGTATCGAGATATTAATGTTGTCTAGCACTCAGGATGGAAGGAAACTCTAATGTGGTTTTCTTGTATAATATATAAGTTATATGAAGACAGTCTGGTGCTGGAGATGCCGTGTGGTGGGGAGCTGCTCAGTAGAAGACGTTCGGTGAGTAGCTTGTTGAAGGAGGTAGATGTGCAGGAGCTTCGTTAGAGAAGATGTTGCCTGTTGCTGGCCTCCTGATTGAATGAATGCTGGACAGCTGGGAGCTTGCTGGAGGAGATGTTGCTTGTTCAGGAAAATGGGCAGAATGAATCTCAATGGAGAGACAGAGCTTATATACCCAGCAGCCGCTATGAGTCATGTTGGGAAAACCCGAGAAGTCGCCGGCCTTTTGGCTCGGTTGCTAGGATACGGCGGGCATTGGAATGCGGATACGCTTGGTTGCTAGGGAAGACGGTAACAGGTGGTGGCGTGGCTACGCAGTTGTAGGCAGTTGTAGGGGAGACGTCCACTACAATACTCCCCCTCCCCTCCCGGCGCGGCGGGAGGCTGGATGTTGTCCGGGTTGTGTCCCACACATAACACATACCGGGCAGGTGTATGTACGACTCGACCGCTACGTGTAACAACTCCATCCAGTGACACAAAACCTGTGGGAGAATTAGGAGGAGAAAGAGGGTTTGGGATTAGAGGAGGTTGTACAAGCAATGGTTGTTGTGCTCCTGCTGCTGCAGGGGCTGCGTCAGGAGGAGGGTCCATGGCAGGAGCAGGTTCTATGATAGAAGGGAGATCTATTACAGGTTCAGGTTCTATGACAGGAGGAGGGTCTATGACAGGAGCAGGTTCTATGATAGAAGGGAGGTTTATTACAGGTGCAGGTTCTATGACAGGAGCAGGTTGTACATGAGGGTGAAAAGAGGGTGCCCAGAAATGTCGTGGGCGTGGTGTTGCTGCCGGTGGTAACTGCGGGTGGACTGGTGCAGGCGTAGTTTGTTGATGGTGCTGCTGGGCTGGGGGCCCGACGGGTAAGGCGGCCGGTTTGACTCGGTCTAT